GGGCAACTGTGAATGACCGAGCAAAAGCCTTTATAACTGTATCAGATTAACGTTTGGTTGTGTGTTGGGTGCTGGTCACAATCCGTCCTTGCACAATGTTGAAAATGACGAATGACGCTAAGCTGACTCAGCATAAAATGCATATTTGCTTTTGCGAGATAATAATCAGCACTGGAGAGATACAGGTGTTCATGCATGCGAGGTCTTGGTCACATCACTGCCGTGAGAGCCATCGTCGACCTTAATAGGTGATCGCTAGCAGTTGCCCGGCGGTTTGACAGGGGATCTTTGTTTTTTCAGGATCGTGTATATTTGTACGCGTGTGCTCCCGCATGCATGCAAAAAGGAAGCATTTGCAGCTTTGTGGGCTAAGCTGCACTGTACCAGGCACCAGATGGAAAGTCGGTTCCTTTTAGCATCACCATTATCGCAACCATCGTTACCATCGCTGTCCTTATCATTTACGTGGCATGTTATCGCACCTCTGTGCCAATGTATGGCAGCCAAGGGGGCTAAGGAGTCGGGCATCGCAGCTGGGAATGTCATTGCATCACAAGCCATGGCGCACGTGCAAATGGGTACAAGTTAATAATTTTGTGGCTCATAACTCATCGTGCAGTGTAGCAAATTCTGGACTTGAACACTCCCACATCTATGCTCCCCACCTTCACCAACCTACACTGACCAGCATTGTGAAGTATGGTGGAATAACCCCCATGACCTGCACAGCGTGTGGAGGCTCTCATTGCTCAGTAGATTGCAAAATAGCTCCAGTTCATAACATACACTGGCGACAGGAAAACGGTGATATGAAACACCGCAATCCAAGTTTTAATCCTGGCCATGGCTAACATTGCTGGCAAGTGATATTTGAACTGCTTCGAGCACCCACCCCCGCCGTTCACTGACCTTTGCTGACCAGCGTGGAGAAGGGTGGTAAAACAACACATGACTGCAATGTGGGTCCTTGTGTATATAAAAATTAAATAGGTTTTACTCATTGAAAAATTCAGTGAGGAAACTTAGGTTTCCTCCTGTAGAGTAGTTTCGCTGTGATAAGAACACCCCACCCACCAACAGCCATCCAGGGTCGATAAAATTAGGACCACTTTGCCATATGTCAACAGTGCTTTTGCTATGGATCAAGTGGCACTAGCCATAGAACAAAAATTTCCTGAATTGTCTCAAGATCTCCTACAATGTATATTAGCACCACCCCATAGTCAATTTAGCAGGAATATGCTCAAGTGACTTGGGCTGGGGCAAGGCTTAATTTTCTTAGTTATTTGTCATTGTAATACTGAAACAAATTATACTGGCTTTGGAGGAGAGATGGAAGGGCGACGGACAATGCCTAGGGGTGGGAGAAGAGAAGGAACCGGGATTCGGCTGTAGTGAACGAAGCGAGTGCAGACTTCTTCTTTGGTTCTTTTGGTAAAGTCACGTAGAATGAGAATAAAATAATAAAATAAGACAATAAAATTATCACGACGTTTTGGCCACAACACAAGTAGCCTCCTTCAGGTGGCTTTACCGAAAGAACCAAACAAGATGAATCCTTGCAGTCACGAAAGCTTTAAATCGAAATCGAGTGGAGACTTGCCAGCGAGAGAGAGAGAGGTGCTGGTAGTAGGGTGTCAGACAGAGTGAAAGGGTGCCGGGGATGTGCTGCAGGGAGTGTTGGCTGTGCAGGGTGTGGGTGCACTTAACACCCTTGCATAAAAATACCCGAGCACTTGCGTAGAGAAAAAAAGTGGTACCGAGACTGTCTTTAAGGAGTACATTTAACCACACACTTGTCCACCAAGGAATTCCCCGAGACGTTTGTGTGTATAAAACGCGTCCAGGCCGTGTCTGTGTAAGGTGTTGTATCCACGACGGTGGTGATGGTGTGCTCAAAAAATTAAAATAAATGCTTTCTTCTTCAATGGGGCTGTCCCGAATACAGTGCTCTGATCATTACAGTAATTATCTGAGGGCAGATTATCCGGGTAATGTATTAACTGTGCTCGCCAAAAAAAACCGTGGAATATCTATTAACATCTTAATTTACGTGTGTTTTGTCTTCTCTGTTTTTGTGTTATCCGGGCCATGTCTCCACCTTCATTACACGAGACAATTGGGTGTTGACTGAAAATGTTAAGCGCCTTTGGTTTACTTTTCTTCTCACAATTAGATTCCAACTGTGCTATCAATGTCATGACACATGGGCATTGCCATTGGGAAACCTTACAGTGAGCAGTGCGATGTCGTGTCACATTGGCCAAACGAACTATGGAAGCTGACATCAAAACAACTACTTCTAAAGACAACTGCTGCTTATCAACACTGCGTGGCACAGTATTATATCCCTCGCATGGCACTCGGGCCGATATTTTTGGTTTTAGAGATGTACATTTTGACTAAAAAATTTCGTGACTGCAGGTTTTCATATTCTTTGGTTCTTTCGGTAAAGTGACGTAGATAAAAAATAATGTATGAAAGGATATATAGACAGACACAATTTCAACCAAGAAGATGGTTATAAACTCAGCAATCATTGGAAAGATGTGATCAACCACTTTGGGTCATGACTTGATTTGTAATTTCTTGTCAACCTCCACCGTCAGCAGTGTGGATGTGTGGAGCGAGGTGCAATGTCCCCCCATCTCTACCCCCTCTTTCCCCTTCTATCTCCCTATCTCTACCCCTTCTCTCTCCCCCCATCTCTACCCTCCCCCTCTCTCTCCCCACATCTCTACCCCCTATTTCTCCCCCTATCTCTACCCCCTCTCTCCCCCCCTATCTCTACCCCCTCTCTCCCCCATCTCTCTCTCTCCCCTTTCTCTCTCCCCCTATCTCTACCCCCTCTCTCTCCCCCTATATCTACCCCCTCTCTCCCCCCTATCACTACCCCCTCTCTCCCCCTATCTCTCCCCCCTCTCTCTCTCCCCCCTTTCTCTCTCCCCTATCTCTGCCCCCTGTCTCTGCCCCCCTCTCTAGCCCCCCTTCTCTCCCCCTCTCTCTGCTCATTCTCTCTCCCCGTCTCTGCCCCCTCTCTCTTCTCCTATCTCTGCCCCCTTCTCTCTCCCCGTTTGTTTTCTCCCACATTAGCATTGGCTGCCCCGCCCATGCTGCTGACACACTTGGACTGCGCCCCTCGCCGCTGGCTCCACGGCTCTTGTGGCCCCGCCCACTCACAGCTTTGGCTCGTTTGCGCCAATTTCAAGCCTTTATCAACAGTTGCAGTTGGAGGCTTGCACCCCCCCCCCCCTCCTTTTCTCTCTGCCTGATCGAAACGTCGTTTTTGGTTTATAGTTTTTGTTTATTATTTATTTTCTATCTACGTGACTTTACCGGAACATAGTTTTGAGACTTTTTTGTTTTGTTTACCTGCTGGAAAATATCAACGTGGAGATGTACACGTTCGGAGAACATACAAGCTACTATTGTAGATCGGAATATGCAACTTCCAAAGCACTGCGGACTGAAACACCAGGAAATAAAATGTCTCGTGTCCCATTTGCTTGCCTTCGTGTTGCTTTTCTCGTGTACCACTACATCTTTTAAATTTACATTACAAAAAAACAATATTATTTCTAGAACTGCTTTTCGTGTTTAGTTTGTTGTCCTCATTGGGAAACCTCACAATGAGCAGTGACAACGCGTCACATCGCGTCACAACGTTCACTGGCAGCTGACGTCAAAAAACTACTTCTCAAGTCACTTCAATTGCCGCTCATCAACGCTGAGTGTCACCGTATTATATGCTGATTCACATGGCACTCAAACCTATATTTTTGGTAATAGAGATGTATTTAGCTTTAATAAGTGACGAGCCAAGTAAAAAATATGGGATTTTTTTTGCAGTAATTAGTGATCGGGCTAAGACCATCAACTCGGTACAGTCGAGACCACAGTTTAATTTTGTTGGCTACGTACCGTGCGAAAGAAGTTCAACATAGGTACATGTAGGATGTCCGCTGTGGAAACCCAGTGCTCTGAAAAAGTTACGTAACAGAGACGAGCGTGAAGTCCTCAAGTTACCCATAAACACCGAGGTGGCCGAGTGGTTCAGAGGTCACAGTGCTCATCTGACACTGCTAATATATTGGGCTCGAATCCAGGCAGCCACCTTTGATAAAACTGCAGAGCGGTGACGACCTCAGCCATTTCAACAATGACAAACATCATTAAATTTGGCTCTGCACTTAATTTGCTACATTTCCAACTGTGAGAATTAAAATATTGCTTTGAAGGTCATGTGACGAACATTACTCTGTATCAGTTTAACACGTAAGCTTTCGCGATCATATAAACGTTGTGACTTGGCTCTCCAATACACCGGTGTGCTGTACTAGTGACGAATTGGCATGTTCTGTTTATGTGACAAACCTTACTAATTGGCTGTGTCGGGTGGTGGCGGGTTTAACGACACATTTATATATTTACACAATCTAACCCAAAAAAACACTCGATTACTCTATGTGCGGAGTGGCTCGGAAGTGATGTCCCATACTGTGTGGAACCAGAGGTCACTTGAAGTCACATGGTGGTGAGATGTTAGCTACCTCGCCTGGTATACAGGAGGCCGTGGGTCTATTCTGACCCTGATGCCTGTATATTTGGAATTTGCTTGTTCTCTTCATGGTTTGCGTGGATTTTTCTCTGGGTCCTCCGCTTTTTCCCTCCACAGATTCCACATTCGTTTCAGAGTATTTGACTGCTATAAATTTCCACGTGATGAGCCACTTCGTTGAGCTGTTATTTTTGGCCAGGTCGCTTCTGAAAAAGAGCTACGCAGCGCAGTGGGCCTTACCTGGTAAAAATAACAAAACGTCAGTTTAGTTGATCTCACAGGTAGTCTACAATGTACGCTTCTGCAGGCCATCGTCTAACTTTAAGGGTTGCTCCGCTCTGTGAAAGATTTGCGGCCACCCCCCCCATGTTGCCCGTCGTCTGACGGAGCGGCACGGTGAAGCCGTGGTGTGAGGGGGACGAGCGAGCGGGCGCCCACTCACTCGCGGCCGCGTTTCTCGGCGGTGGCGGGGTCGCGTGCCGGCTCGTAGACTCCACGCGGCAGGTGCTGTATGAGGCCCAGATGCTGCGCGATGCGGATCTGCTCCTCCTCCGTGAGCTGCGTGGCCAGTCGCGTCTGCGTGGGCGTCAGGTGGTAAACGGGCACTCCCGCCTCCTCCTGCCACGAAGTTCAAGGGGAAAAGTGCCGAGTGAGCAGGGGGGATGGAGGGGATGGGGGGGATGGTGGCGGCGGCAGGCATAGACGTGGATCAGGTCCACGTGTTAATTCCAATTTCTCGCAATGTGCAAATGCAAAGGTTTGTTTATGCCGATTCAACAAGCTGGCAAAACTGGTCTGAACTATGAAACTAAACTATTTTTTATTTTACCAGGGAAGGCCTACTGAGCTATATAGCTCTTTTTCAGAATCGACCTGGCCACAAATGATTGCTCAACGAAGTGGCTTATGTGGAAATTTATAGCAGTCAAATACTCTAAACGCATGTTTCTAAATGTGGAGGGAAAAATCAAATGACCTGGAGAAAAATTCACACTGCCACGGGGAGAACATGCAAACTCGGAATATAAAGGCGTCAAGGTTGGAATCGAACCCACGACCTCCTGTATACCAGGCAAGGGGGTTAACATCACGCCACCATCTATTATGTATGTATTTATGTTGAACTTTTCGCACCGTACGTAGCCAAACATACTAATCGGAGATGCGTGGAAGAACAAGACAAAAATCAGTCCTAAAGAAATATTTTTTTAATAAAACTTATTAATAGCGTCACCATTATCTTTAGGTGGGTTCTTCAACAAATTGTTTCCAGTGAGGCACGCAACAAATCTAGTGTGCGCTGGCGGGCATTGGTATGTCGCATAAACGTGTTTACATCATAGTGTCACATGGAAAAATATTACGACTTCAATGGCCTTGTACAGTAGTAGCGATTGTACCTGTAACCACTGTTCTGTACCTCTTGTCTATAGCTGTCAATCTCTCTTTCATCTCACCCTAATCTGTAACTGTTGATGTCACAGGGCGGTCCATAGCTTTGTGGGTCACTCCAAGAGCATTCGCTGGCCACATGTGGTCTACGAGCCGCCAGTTCAAACAATCCCGTATAAATGGATGCAAAATGTAGGTGTGCATGCTTACATCCACCCGCATGCATCCCAATAGACATACGCTCATTGCGCTGATCGGTCACAATGCTATTTAGGAATTCTGCGGCTTTGTAAATTGCCTTCCGACAGACAGACGGACGTGATATTTCCCTGGCATCGCAATAGGTGGCCGAGTGGGTCCCAAAATTATGTAAACATAATTTTAAATGATGCATAATACACATAACCAAGTAGAAATAGGGCCTTTGGCTAGTTACATAAAACATGTTTTGTGAAAGCCTCCTGAACGTTACATCGAGTTAGATAGGAAACTAAAGAGGATTGTCATTTCAGATATATTACGCAAAAGGAATAATGTTCCTTTTCACGGGAAATGATCACGAATGTTCCCCTCTGCGAGATTTTTTTTTGGTGCAAAGACGTCAAAATTTCCGTCACCAACAATGGGGCAAATTGTCAGTGATCTGTGTCAGTTCACTCATCAAGATTATTAATCTAGGCCAGCGTCTGGCTGCTTAAAATGAACAATGCGGTAGTGGTCATCTGTATTGGTTGGCCTGGGCGAGTGGTGGAAATTCCCCATTCCCATGGTGATAGTCAGCATGTTGCGACTACAACCCCCTACTATCTTCCTACAAAGTGTTACTCATTTTATCGAAACCCCGACGGGAAGATCACTATTCTTCCCCAACCAATTGGCGACCTTCCGATTGTAAGTGAACAGCACCACCATTTAAAGTAAACTGGACATTTACAATACACACCGGAGCCAATATAACACCACGAACAACTCTGCTCACAAAACTTGGTACATTCTTCTGAGTATTCTGCCCAAGGACAGGTTCTCAGCTCACATTTTCTCCATTATATCCAATCTTGCACCTTCCTCTTTTGTCATTATCCTTTAGTTATTTATACCGTCGTGGAGTTCCGCCCCTTTTCTTCTTCGTCGCTTTTCACCCTTTTATGTTTACTTCTGGAGCTTCTGCCAGCAAACCTTCACCCCTGCAAATATTCTTAATCTTGGTATTTTGCCAGCCTTCATTTGTTTGAAACAGATTTCTAATATTTTCTAATTTCATATTTATAGAATGCCTTCACTCAAGGTGCTTGACATAGTTTAAAAAACAGTGACAGAAAATAATTATTTAGATAACAGGGGCGTGCATGGATTGAGGAATAAGTGACCAATATGCTTTCTTTCTGTTCAGTCGATTTTTCCATTTGACACCCCACCCATATCTCCAAAAAAATTCTGATGTTTTCCTTTCTCCACATTCGGATCTATCGGAGCCTCTCCTTTAATAATTCCCTGCTCACACATCTTACCAGCAGTATCTTCTTGTCGCTGAATGCTATTTTGTTCATGAAAATTCTAGTTCTAATCTCAAACATCAGCCGAAAAAACCTGAACTGTTTCAAGTGTTCTAGTTGTTATCTGTCCACTGTGATATTTAGCTTTGTTCCTATTCCACGTGGGATTTGCATTAATTTTGTTTATAGACGCTTATTTTTAATGGTGAGACAAGGACAATGTGTGGTTAATGCAGACTTGATGCCTCACAATAGGTGTATATTTGGTGTTTGAACATCATAACACCTGTGTTTTTTACACATGCACACATATGAACTAACACACACACACACAGACTAAGACACATACACAGATCGACGCACACACACAAATCGACTCACACACACAAATTGACTCACACACACACACCTCGCCTTACACACAGACATCGACTTACACACAGACATCGACTTACACACAGACATCGACTTACACAAAAAACATCGACTTACACACACATATCGACGTGCGCACACACACATGGACTCACACACATACACACATGGACTCACAAACACACAACTCACACATAAAGACAAAGATCCCCCGTATAGCCTTAACAGCACCTATGAAGGCCGGAACGGTACACGAAGGGGGTGGGTGGCCAGCATCACGCCCGACCGCCTTTGTCTCCCAGTGCCAATGTTTACACACCGCACCAGGTACTAATATAAGGCTGAGTGGACCTAGGGGAGGCCCAGGACTGGTTCAGATAATCGTTACTGGAGTTGGCCGTGAGCGGGAATCGAACCTGGGTTGTTGGGTTCATAGCGCAGCACGCTAACCGCTACACTATCGCTCCCCACACACATACATCAACTCACACACACGGACTCACACACATGGACTGACACACACGCACATATCGACGTACAGACACAGCGACTCACACACACATCGACTTACACACACATCGACTTACACACACACATCGACTTACACACACACATCGACTTACACACACACATATGAACTTAGACAAACACGCAGACACATTTCGACATACACCCACACATCGACTGACACACATGGACCCACACACTCAGACACATCGACTAACACACACAAAAACACATCGACTTACACACATACATAGACTCCCACGCACATGGAACTACGCACACACACACATATGGACTTACACACATGGACTTACACACACACACATCGACTTACACACACACCGACTTAAACACACACCGCACACACACACATGGACATAAACAAACACAGTGACTGTCATACACACACACATTAACTCACACACACATTGATGCACACACACGACTCGCACAGACACAACGCACACACGTATATGGACTCAAACGCACACATGGACGTACACACGCACACCAACTTTTATATAGACGAAATAAGTTTGTAAATAATAGTTTTCTATGTACGTGACTTTAGCGAAAGAAGCAAGGGAGAGGTGAAATGCACGCGTGTATAATAAGTAATTGGGAGCGACCACGAGGGTTTCCGCCATTTTGGTGCAATCATTTGCCGCGAGCGAGAGCGGCAAATAAATGAAAGTTAACGAATACAAAATGAACCGAACCTACCTGTAACTATGAGCAGATGCCCACCAATCAAGCGTCATTGACAACGTCACTGCTCAACCTCCGTACTAAGGGGGCAAGTGTAAATATGATAGAATGAAGACGTAATAGCAATGAGTATAATTATTGGTTTGCCCCTGCGCAGCAAGTGATATTACGTGGCTGGTTATGCCTCAAGAGTACAGAAAAAGGCTATTCTTACCCCCCTCAAACCTGTGTTTTGTGAGCAGGACAGTGATATTTAGAAATATACCTATTTTCAAAGAGAAAACGTGTGCATAAGTGTCGTGGCCTCACGTAAAGATGTGGTCGCTAAAGCAAAGGTTGTGGTAGTCGGGGAGAAAAAGCGTGTTACTTAGGGTAAAACACTGCTTAATCCCCGTCATTAAATGACTTACCTATAAAAGGCAATTTGTAATGAGAAAACAGTCATGGTAATACATGTGTTGAAGGGAGCTGTAAATCTGTGTGTGTTAGCTTGCGCAGTGTCGACACGAAAGAGAATTCCCCCCTCCCCCCCACCGAACGAGTGTGACTTGGTAGGGTAGAGCAGAGCTACGTAGTAAATAAATAAATAACCTGGAACAGCACTAAATCGCTAATTAAACTACTTTAAGGGTGACGGACGCGAAATCGGAATAGCGCTGGCTCAGCACGGGGCTTACAGCGTGACATCTGGCTACTTTTATAAAATGTTAACCCCACGGTTTGCGAGCCAAATCCTTCGCAAGTTTCGGCCACACACAGACAGACAAACAATGACATTTATAGGAAAGTATAGAGTCGGCAGATACTACTATAAAGTCAGCAGATACTACTACAGTCAGTAGATACCACTACGGCCAGGAAATACTGCTACAGTCAGTAGATACTACTATACAGTCAGTATATACTACTACGGTCACTAGATACTACTATAGAGTCAGTAGATACTACTATAGAGTCAGTATATACTACTGTAGAGTAAGTAGTTACTACTATAGTCAGTGGATACTGCTATCGTCAGTAGATGCTACTATAGAGTCGGTAGATACTACCGTAGGGTCGGTAGATACTAATATAGTCAGTAGATAATACTACAGTCAGTAGATACCACTATAGTCAGTATGTACTGCTGCAGAGTCGGTAGAA